CCATACGTCTCGAACCTGTACTAAGGCGCTCACCTGGACTTCGAGGACAGTCCCAACAGAAGAGCTTGCCTGGTCGGCTAAGGTACCGATGGTATTTGACGGGGTGAATTAGAGTCTCTTATGGCTACTGATTGACAGCAAGCGTTGGGAAAATAAAAAGCCACCCCAGGGATTCGAACCCACCGACTAACGATCTGAATACAGCGCCCTTAACCATTAGGTCATTTCGAAGAAGATGCTTTTTGTTGTTCATATTAAAGGGATAACAAAGCCATTAACGTTAGGCCTTCTGTACAGAATGTTTCTGTGTGACTGAGTGACCGATTTTAAACGCAACACTAGTGCATAACGTAGCAAAAACAGAAACGATGGTCGTCAACATTAATGTTCTCCCTGACAGCTTCTTCTTTTTTTTGAATGCGCGCACAAGTCAAGTTTGCGTCATGCCAGCGAGAGTGTTGCGTCGTGCCACTGCAGCGTCGAGTCTTTGCCCTGCTGTCGACTCAAACTTGTGGAAATTAGACGCGCCCTTCCAGATCTACTTGTATATCTTATAGACGTCGCCCTGTTCCCACAGACTCATTAAAAATATCTATAGACTGACAATAGAGGGCACAAGAGCGTAGTCTCTGTAATGGAGATCAGTGAATATTATGGACGGCGCCATTTTCAAAACTCATGAGCAAACTTGTTTTGTACTAACAGATGCATAAGCAGTAGTCTTTACCAGAAAGTCTGGTAAAATTGTCAAAGAAGAATAGGTAAAGGTAATTTGCTCCATTGTCCAACAGGGAAAAACAAACCTGAAATTAATATATGATGCATTAAATTTGTGGGGTGGGGACAGTCCATGTGGTAAATTCAGTGATAAACCCCCATTTTCACAAATATTTTAAAAATACTCACAACTCTCACAGGTGTTCAGGCTGCACAGAAAAACGATGTTCCACACGTCCTCTTTCATTTTCCTTTCAACTTTTAGTGGGTTGACCAATGAGTTTTTGAGAAATTCTCACCCAAAGCAGACCACCCCTAAAACGAAGGAAATGTCACTGCCTGAGAAAGTAGCCATTTTTGAAAATGCACCCCTCTGCAAAATGGCTCAAATAGTGCCATTTTCGGACCCAATTGCATCCAAATTGCTCAGAATTGGAAGCCCTGAGTCCGGCCCAGAGGTTCTGTGCCATAATTCTTCGATTCCCCAGTTCCATGCCTCTTAGGACCCTCTAATATAGAATATTTTGAAGTGTATTACTTATTAATGAGATCGGCGGACATATTTCTGGCCTATTAAATACAAGGGTGCACCCCTAGTCGCTTACTGTATGTCTTTCTAGTGCTGGCGTGCAGGATTCATTTGAGAATTACAAATCGATTCGAAAAAGGAAATACTTTTCTGGAATCCTCTAGAGACAAATCTAAATAATCCCTGTAGATATTGCAAAATGTGAAAAGTTTAATGTCAAGAGAGGTTTTTTTTTGACTGCAATTTTGCACACCCTTTCTACCAAAGGTAGAGGAACATTTCCTACGTGCTCGGCTCTCGCTTCCCGTCATCCGCCCCTCCCTTTCCCCGTACGGCGTCATATTCATGCATCAAAGTCCAAGATACGGTACAAAGCTAACATTGACTTAATGGCCTTATCTACGATTAACTTACATTCTCTGACCCACCCTAAATTACGGAAGCTTAAAGTGACCACCTGCGTGTCCACGTTTCCAGGATATATTATCACGGAAAGACCGAATACCCTGATTTGGACATGTTTCGTAGATCGCATGATTTGGGAAGACATCTTTCCAAAATAGAATGTCACGAAAAGACATCTTTCCAAGACAGAATATCAAAGAAAGACGTCTTTCCAAGATATCCTCTCTCGGAAAGACACGTGACACGAAATTTACGGCAGCTGAAGTTCAAGTGCAGTGATCTGCATGTTGAAACAGCTCACCCTATATAGGACCAAGACACGATATCGTGGAATGAAGTCTTTTAGAGCAGAGGTGGCAGCAAGTCATTTTTTGCAAGTCCAAGTCAAGTAACAAGTCAAAGCTGGTATTTACAAGTCAAGTCCCAAAAATACCGGCTCGAGTCCAACTCGAGTCCAAGTCACAAGACCCGAGTCAGCAACTCTGTTTAAGAGAAACAATAATAGGGGAAAGAGGTCTTTCCGAGAATGGATAGCCGACGAAGACGCCTTTCCGAGGTAACACATCAAAGACCGAGATCCGATATCAGGGAAAGGCGTCTTTGAGATGCAGTACCACCCAAGGAATGACGTTAGAAAGATCTCTGTATTCCGTTTCTCCTTGATAATATATCTTGGAAACGTGGAAACTCAGATGGTCACTTTAAGCTTCCGTATTAAATGCTGTCTGTGAAAATGTTTATCTCTGTCATGTCACATTCCGGGTTTCTGCGTCTAGCTAACATGCGTCGTGCGAATTGACTAGAGGGGCCGTGATGAAAGGCGTTTATTTTCACGGAGGGCGCACAGCTCTCTTCAGCAACTTCTTTAATTAGATCTTTCCAGAAACATTTTGTTTGTTTTGTTTTAACTGTGTATATAACTACTTGAGATTTTTCAAATATTGTTTATCTTTGATTTACTGAGCCTCCGAGGCCAAAAGAAGGTGAACTTCGACCACGTGACTTCAAGGGTACATGCAATGCATTTTATTTTACTACAGTCCTTGAAAACGCACCTTTGTGTTTCGATTACCTTTACGTTTTTGATCGTGAATATGAAATTTGCATTATCATAAGAACTCCAAAGGCTCCAAAATGACCGATATAAAACAAAACAAACACTGATCATGCAAATTTCATATTCATCATCAAAGGTGTGATGTCGTCCTAGGCACTGAACTGTTACTCTACTCTTATTGTGCAAAAACAAAATCTGCTGGACTGTCGTACATTTAGCTGTATTACATCCATTTCTGTGGGCTTTTGTGTGTGTATGTACAACACAATACGCAACCTTTTGTCAGAAATGTTTTCAGGAGCAAATTTGTCAACAGTGTATTGACCAGAAAACCTTGACGATTTTTTATGTCAACTCCAAAAGGATTTCGAACAATTTTCATATATTGAGGAAGGATATAAAGATTTCATGAAAATAGTCATTTCATAATCAATTTAAAAAGGAAAAAATAACTTCACTGCATGGACTCTTTTATGGTGACGTATAGGGGGTCTTGAACTCAGGGCCATATGCTTTCCATTTTTTTTATAGATTTATGCATATTTATACTGCAGATGTATATAAAAGGAAAAAAAACAAAATCAAGTTACAGCATCTGGAGCACAAAAAGAAATTCTTGACCGTCGTTGCATGGCTTCAAATTAAGGTGTCCATTGAGTGAACCCACTTGCCAATTCTCCATTACTGTGTGCGACTTTATAGAAAGAGTTCTCCACAATCAAATTGGAGGTGGCAGCAAGTCATTTTATGCAAGTCCAAGGCAAGTCACAGGTCATTTGGTCATAGGGCAAGTCAAGTCAAGTCACAACTCATTTGGTCTAAACACAAGTCACAAGTCTCCTTGCCCAAGTCCAAGTCAAGCTGCACATTATTTTGTACAGCTGTAACAAGCAAAAAGAGCTAGGCTTCAACTTACGAAGTTACGAGTTATAAAAAAATATATGGGGCCGGTCGAGTAGTGTCTGACTTGGGTTGGTAACAACATTTTTTGCAAGTCCAAGTCAAGTCACAAAAATAGCGACTCGAGTTCGACTGAGTCCATATACCCAGCAAGAAATGAGACCGAGGGGTACCCCCCCAAACATGCCCAATCCCTATACACATTCCAGACTAATGTTACTTAACACATCCCCCCAAGATGTCTGAAAGGAATTCCCCAGATTCCTGCGAGACAATGACCAACACAAAGCGGGGGGGGGGTTCTCTCCGTCTCATACCTTGCTGCGTATGTGAGTCCAAGTCACACGATTCGGGTCAGCAACTCTGCAAATTAAAATGAAAGCTTCAACAAATTAAAGTATGTGGTTTGGGAGGAGTGCCGTAATCTGTTTAGCGTATTATGTAAACAAATCTTCGTATACATCAATTCAAATTAGTAATCTATGCAGTGTGGAGATATTCAAGAACTTATTCGAGACTATAATAGTAATGTTGACTTTTGAGATCGTTGTGATACCATGTGTAACCACTATCTATTTGATCCGCTGAACTACAAAAATGCCATGTGGGTTTGTGGCGAACCCAGAGCTAATGTCACTGATTATCGCTGGGCATGTACATGTACATGTACGTGTCTGATTGGAAAATTGCATTTGCGAATTTATAACAACTCCACGTGCCCCAGGCTGGGTTGTCGCACAGGCACTTTAGGGTCTTCCATCTGCTTTTTGCAGGCTTTTGAAACCGCAGGATTCACTCAACACGAGCGTGGGTGTTTCTTTGTTCTGTCATGTAGTTTAATGTTCCAAATCTCAGTCATGGGTGAGTAATTTGGTGGGTGTTTTGGGCATGCTTCTAGTGGAGAGCTGGTCACAAAGACATTGAGGGGTGCTCGATACTGGAAAGTGCCAATGTAGCTTCGCCTTTTTCCCTGTATTAAAAATGTCGCCACTTGGCATATTCCACAAGCAGACGTTCCTTTCGTTTTATCACCCCTCCTATCATATCCTTTGCCATCTCTTGTCTTGTCACGAGTTTCCATTCCATAACCTCAACTTGGTGGCTACATTTGCAAGGTTAGACTGGTTTTTAATGTGCCCCATACCAATGGATATTGTATTTTTTTAAATTTATACTACTTGAATTTTTAACTCAAAGATAAACCCAATAACCTTTGAGGACATTGACTGAAACGTTTGAAATAGTCTTGATATTATCACGCAAGTCTCGTAAATCCCACAAATGTCTGGAAAAATCCACACCGGTCTCGTAAGCAAGGATATCACCGTGGAAAGTCAAAACATTGAAGTATAGTTCGGTCTTTAGACAAGTTGCGATCCAGTTAGATATTTGGTTTGCACTCACCATTCCTTGCTTTCTGATATCAGCCATGATTTTTCCATTTAAGTTAACTTGTGACTTTGACTTCAGGTTTATTTTTGATTGCCTGATAAAAACGGTCATTATTTCTTTCATAAACGATCGAGAAAAAAGTTGGGCAAAGCAAAATTATTCACATGTTTTACTTTACTTTTAGTGTAAAAAGTAGGTCATTTTCCAAAAGATTTACCTAACAATGGACACCCAGTGAACAGAAGTTGAAAAGTTGATATTTACACCACTTTCGGACAAAAGCTGGTCAAAATATGCCCATTTTTTTAACAATGCATAATCTTTATAAATTAAGAAAGGTACAGGACTCGATAAGAAAACACAAGTGAACATTCGGATCTGGCCAGGAAAAGCGAACCAGTGCATCACAAATGGGAATTAAAAGTAGCAATAGCAAATTAGCTATAGACATTCGGGGCATCACTACGAGGGATACTGATTAACAAAGAACCTAAACGAACACAAAAGCTGTCCTCACTAAAATACCAGAAAGGTTCCCCGATATCTTATTGGAAATTGAATATAGCTTTACTTTTCAAGATAGTGCCTTGAATTTGAGAGTGATGTTTCACCTTTTTTGCGATTAAAACTGTTGCCAATTTCAATTCACAAGGCAAAACGAACCTTCTACACATTTTAGCCAACCGTATCAATTTATGTTTATAAAACAAACAAACCGAACAACGTAGGCCTATTTCTCGCTTGAGCTATGGGATGGGCTCTAATTCACTACGCGTAGATGTAACGTACTCAACGATGACTTTACCCAAGAGCAGCTATGATTTCTAGTGGCTGACCTAGATGAGTGCGAGTATGACGTCGAACCGAACAACCACTTAGGGCCATAACCACGCGCAGACCTTGATGACCTGTATGTACTCGAACATACCCAAGAAAGATATTACCTCGCTCTGTTTTTGTGTTTTGTGAAACGCGCACTGATACAAACCCCAATGTTTATTACTTACCATCCATACAAATTTATTCAAATCTGCACCCAGCTGTAATATAAATTCATAGAGATTATTAAATGTCAGAGATAAGGGGGAAATGTTAGACGCCCCCGCTGTGTCTGGTTTGCCGAACTACTTTAGACCACAGTACCGTTGATAATCACCAGGGCGTGTAAGACTGCGCTTGAGAACAGCACGCCACTTCAGGCACAGGTACAAGCGAGAAGAGGACGCCGACTTACATCCATATTTCGAATCTTTAAACACCAAGACTTCTCTCGACGGAAACATGGTTGAGTACCTTTTTGTCACTTTTTCTGTGTTGCTCAAAATCTCAGCGGATGAATAAGTTTGGGGGATAGTTCAGGGAATGTTTCAAGGGGTCTGTATATTACTGGTTAGAGTAGGCCTAACGCTTTTTTCACACAACAGCAGGAGCGCAATAGCAGTGCAGTTTTGACTGAGCAATACGTACACATGGACGCAATTTCGAGTATCTTATATTCTCCGATTCCACTATTCCCTATCAACCTGCTTTATACCCTTCATTACGTTCGTTTTCTCCGTTTTCTCTCATTCCTTCTTTCCATCCCTTCTTTCTCCTCTTCCCCTGTTAGGCCGGCGTCTGGTCGAGTATTCGAGTTGCATGCTTACTTTTATTCAACTGGGTGTCTGAAAGACTGGGTATATTATGGTTCTCAGTAAGTGCCAAGTGCAAAAGATCACCTGATAGCTGCAAGTACTCCGATGGAGCCCAGCACGCAGTCTGCTTTTTACACATATTTTATAATCAAATTAATTCATTACAGTTTGATCTCTGGGCTAATCTGTGTCAGATAAAGCACTGCTTTTTAATCACAGCATGATAAAAGTGTGCTTCTGCCACGTGGCTTTTTCCCCTCCTACAGTACAGATCACGAATCAAGAAACGCTACTCAATCTACAGGGCTACGCTAGCTCGTTGAAGTCTTTCCCTCAACAATTATGTGATTAACTTGATCACAACACACTTTAATGAGTTGAACTTCCAGAATATAGATTAAACGAAGCCACTGGAAAAACAACGTAATAGTCGCAGGGGAAAAAGTTTTATACAAGGGCATCCTGTGACATCCTGTGCACAAACTCAATGAAATCTGGTCTGAAAAAGTTTGTTTTTCTAGCTCAATGCCTAGATACCTTCCGGTTAAATTAGGACATGTTCTCGCTTTCTGATGGCTAAGAAACCACTATAGAGGAAAATAAGTCAATGTATGGAACTCTTAAATCGTAATCTATCCATGGTAAACTTATAACTGATAACATGCAGTTTACGACTAACTTGTTTCTTTGTAGTAGAACTTTTTCTCTGTATAGTTATCTGTATCTATTGCTCTATCGATACGGACCATATTTAGTACCTGTTTAAGCTGAAATGGCAACAAAAGGTACACAGAGCAGTTGCAGACAATCGATAAAAAGTGAAGAATAGTGTACGGGTCGGAAATCGTGATGTAATGTGTCTGAACAGTACCGATTCGAGTTTAGTCTGGTTCAGCTCTCTTTGGCATAGAACACACGATTTAGACATACAATATAAATGTCTGTAAACACGTAAAAATTGCAAGCCAGCACGTGCGCTATTATGGTTGTTTCAAAAATATGCTTGACCCTTTTCACGGACCATTGCAAGCGGGAAAAAATCAAACAAACATCCATTTTAATGACTTGTAGTAAACCAAGTTTTTTTTATATTTTTCACCCTTGTCTGGATGTGCTTGTAGGCCTATGATGTCATGCATTTTGGGTAAAAAAACAGGCATTGTTTAGACGTGACCTTAAGGGATCTGCTGAAAAAAGCAAATATGGTTTACAAATTACATATTAATACTCAGACATGTGGGGGAAAACAGTTCACGTGCAATGAGATAGAATTCATTATTCACAAACGAGCAACTCATGCAAATCATAATCCAAAATGTCCTATGAAATAACAAAATTCATTATTCACAAACGAGCAACACCTTAATCAAAAATACAAAACATGTACAATGTACAATGAGATAACATTGCCCCCATTTAAAATTGTATTTTGCTAATTACTTTGCGAACTCCAGTTTTTAACTTCAAATAAAAATCTCATTGACACAGTATGGTGACTCTTACTTGCCTCAAACTCAAAATGTACCGTGGGTCTCACAAAGTCTCGTGTTTCTAAAAGATTCTCGCTTGAGTGTAAGACAGGCTCTCTGCGCCAGTATAATCACGTAGTGATGACGTCCAGGAACTATTTGCTCTTTCTGTAGATCAATTAGGCCTAAACATTAAAAAAGCTTACATTTTTGGAATGTTCTCACTTAAGTGTTTTGGAAGCTAAGTTATCTATTTAGTGATGAGTAAAAACATAACTTCTCAGACCGTTTGTACTGCGTCTCGAGCCTTATGGATTCATGTGTTGCTTTCCTTCAATTAAAATCCTCAGAATGCGTTTGTCCAGGCCACACCCTTTATTGTGCAGGGAAATGACGAAGAACTGTAGGCCTATTTGGTACACAAAATACATTGCGGTTTTCGCCATACACATAGCAGGAGCCGAAATATTTACCTATAATGTCTGTATATTAGGTGTTGCCTGTATAATATAATATTAATTGTGGCGTATTTCAAAGTACCATCAGAGATTAACAGAAAATGATAAACGTGGCTTTTCGCATTAGTATGGGATGAACACGTAGCCTTGGGAGAGTGCGGTGTATAATTTTGCTCAAGCAAAATAATGCTCCTTGCTGGTGCCATTTTGGACTGAGTGGGACAATACAGTCCTCTCCAACCCGACGTGCATGACGGCGGCTGCACACAGGGACATGTATGTGGTTGGGACAATTTGCGATCAGTGAACCGAAACAAGTGCCACTAATGCAATTTCCAGTCTGGGCCCAAAAGAAAAGACTCACATTCTGCAAGTTAACGACCCAAAAATCAGCGCATAGGTCACCCGGCAGGCATGTTGTGTAAACCTAGGGCATTTTTTTCCCGCAAGTCATATTACGAGCATTGTTGGGGGGCACATTACTCAAGTCGAAGTCAACTTGAAGTCACACGTCAGCCTTTCCAAAGTCAAGCCACAAGCCTGCGGTCTTCTTTTTTCAAGTTTATCTGACATCTTAACTGGCATGACATATTACAATTTCTTTGACACGTTTTATTTACAATGCGCCCTGCAAAACATGTTGGATTTGTCCGCCTTCTTTGTTTAACCACATTACCTTGATATATCCAGTGATAAAGCATCAGTATTATGAAAACGTGCGGGGCCCAAGCACACGATTTAACGCTAACAGCACTCCACGTCATTGTAACGGAGACCGCAAGCAGCGTGCAAGCTAAATCCAAAGGCATGCTAACCTTGGAAGAAAAGTTTGCATAGACTTAACGACGTAACCGTAAAAACGTCTATGCGGCTTCAACCTTTAGCACAACTACGCTAAGCGCCTCCATGAAATCATTATAGTGCTTAGCGTTAGCACATTTTCTGCTAAAGTTAAAGCACGACGTTTCTGGTAACTGGTAAGCAGCTCCGTGAACTTTGGCCCTAGGCTCTGTTTAAACAAACAAAAACAGAGTTTCTTCTCTCTTCCTGAAACTCATTTTAACAACAGTTGATAGTGTTAGGGGCCGAATTTACTTAAGTTAAATCAAGTCGTAATTTCTGTTTCGAGCAAAAGTCACAATTCATTTCCCCAACTTCAAGTCAAGTTTTCGAGCCTGGACCTTTTGGCTGGGGACAAAAGCACTTTTCAACAGCAAGCTGATTAAAAGTGGTCACTTTCAGAGAATTTTGAAGCAAATTGGTGATTCCCCCCTCCATTTTTCTTTTCTCCCAAGTTCTTTAATCCCTCCTCATCTTTTTTAACGGGAAAAGCACCGTCTTGTCTCCATCAGAGTCATAAGTATTCTGAAGATCTGTGTACAGAGACAAGCGCCAGCTTCAGAATTTTGAAACACTCCGGTATGAGCCTGGAGATGGACCAAGAGAGAAGGCAGTTTTCTTAGCAACTGAGGCTCCTTTGGTCGGAACTAAACTTCGCTGGTACACGAACGACTACTCAGTATATTACGCCCCAATGGAGACGAAGACATGGATAAATTGAAACTACCAAGGGACAGATATCTAGCTGAAGGGGGCAAATTTAGGGGCAGTTGTTTCAAGCAGACCGGATCGAAATCAGTGACCGTAGTTGGTTCATACAGAAGCCGCGTATTGGATAGCGCGAACCATCTCTGGGATTACTGATCGCGATTCAGATCCGTGTGAATCAAACAGACCCATAGAGACAGTTCTGTCACACATTATTCCTACTTCAGTCGTGTGGAGCAGTTTTCTTTCCCTGATACAGCCCAGACCATATTGGGCCGCAATGGTAACGTGAAAATTGATTATTAGTGACAGAGAGGGAGCCAGACAAGCAAGGTGTGATCTTTTTCACGTGTTTGTATTATTTGAATCTAAATAAAATATTTCTTATTTTCGCAGGCAAGCTGGAATGCCGAAAAACAACAAGGTAGGTTAACCACACTTTTAGAAGAAAGTGAGGAATTGCTTTTAGACTCAGTACGAATATCCTTCAAATTGCTGATTTTTTCTGTAGAAATGAAAATGATACAGGCATATTTTTGTAGCAAATGTCAGTGTTCATTGATTTTCTTTATTTTGTTAGTAAACGGCGGCTGCATTCCTCTAAAAATATTTTCTGTAACCTTTTAACCGTCCACGTCTTAGGGTAGCACCCCTAGTTGTATGCCTGCTTTGTCTCGTTACGTCATTCCTTTGACAAGAGAAATTAAAGTAAAAAAACAATCAAACAAACCAAGAAAATGAAGCCGTAGGCTCAGAGATCCAACTCATTAACCCAAGCACTGTTTATTTAATTAACGTAGCTTGCAAGGGTGTCTTCAAACAGTTTGATAAAAATGGCGACGGTAAGGTCAGCAAAGGTGAACTGCGGGAGGTGATTACGTTGTTGCATCGGGAGCCCAGTGATGAGGACCTCCAGGCCTTGATGAAACATATCGACAAAGATGGTACGGCTATTTTGACCTTCGTTTACGTTCAGCGTGAAGTTCCACATTTGTAAGGGATAGACAGCCTCTTCGAAGATATTTTGTTTGTTTCCCCAAATGAAAACCTTTTCACATTTTTTTTGCCAAACGAATTATTTGTAATTCTCCAAATTTCAGAACCAATCTATCTCAATTTTCAAAAGCTAAGTATTCTTATGATTCAGAAGCAAAACAAAAGAAAAGCCCCACACCCACCACAGTGACCGAGTCGTCAGTTTCCAATGGCGCTTTGCTCACCTCACCAAAGTAGAACCAATATTGTGCACTTTTTAGCGGCGTATCCAGGTTTTGATTCCGGGGTGGCGGCAAAATCGGAATTTCGAGGAAAAGATTGTCCCTTTTTTCAATCTAAAAAACCTTTACCCGAAATGAAATGCACTTTTCTGTTTCCCTAGAATTAATTGTTTTCAGTTTTCGTAAAAGAAAACAAAATGGCCGCATATGTACGAAGATGGCCGAGTTGTGCCCCCCCAACCAGATACACCAATGCACTTTCTTTCGTTATTTCACCTATCAGAGAAAAAAATCGCATTTTCAGAGCATGTCTGATGGATTTTCGTGTTTTCTTCTCCTTGTAATTCACTAGTTTTCGATTTTTTAAAGTCCCCTCTCTCCATAAAATATGGGACGCTTCTCAAGTGACTGCGGCTAAGGGTCAAATCTGCTCTCGCTCACGTTGTATTGTGCAAGGCCTTCGGGTGCAAGGAAGGCCACGTAGCAATACTGCGTGTTCTTTATGTGTCTGTTCGGTAAATGAAAATGAGATGGTTCTGTGTCGTGAAGAGACGTCATATTATTGTAAAGGAACTACCTTCGTTGTTCACCTGCCTGTCACTTCTCGGTATGTTCTAAATCTCCTGCGTCATTTTCTTTCCTTTAATACAGGCAGCGGCTTCATTGAATACGACGAGTTTGAAAAGATGATGATGGCGCTGGATGAGAAGATTATGGCGAGTTTGAGGGAAACTTTCAACGCGATCGATAAGGATGGCAACGGATACATCTCGTAGGTTTTTACCAAAATGCAGGCTCCACAATATTAGGCTAACATTGTCAGTTGTTTCCTTTTCGTTTTGTTGCTTATACTGTAATAGACCAATTGAGCCCGCTAAATCTAAAATTTGTGTTTTGAGTATTGCTTACACAAAACAATACAACAAAGTTACAGTACACCATCCAGTACATCAGTAGTCTGAGTACAGTACCAAAGGTCGGCTTTATTTTGGGTCAGTGAATATGAAACACTTTGCTTTTGGTGGACGCCGTGTTTGTCGATATTTAATAACCACTATTGGCTGCGTGACTGAGTGGACGCACAAACGACTGTTCTCCATCTAGTTTTTCCCTAGAAGTCAGCAAAACGAGCAGTTTCTACCGTTAATGCTTTCAAGATGAAAGTTCCGTGTGTTCTCTGCTTTTCTTCGTTTTGTTTGAGGCTCCTTAGCATGAATATTATTTTGCTATCGCTTTGAAATCAAGCAAATATTATGAGTGGCACAAACAAAGGCTTGTTCCCAGGCAGAAAATTTGAATACCTTATCGCTGTACTTTATTACTGCGTCAAATAATGCAGTGTGTTAAACTGTTGTGTCTCAAATGAAGCCCACATTTTTTTCCCGCTGCAGTATGGACGAGATCGAGGACTTACTCAAAAGTCTGGGCGTTAAACCGACTGAGCAAGAACTGAAAAACGCCATGGCCGAAGCAGATACCAACCAGGATAACAAAATCAGCTTCGAAGGTGCCTATTTTTGCCTCTCAAATTTTTCTGTATTCATATGCTGTATAACTTCTACACTCATATTCAGTGGTCTCTCTGCCTTATAAATTAAACATTATGACATCTTTTGTCTTTCTTGTACTAAAAAGGGTACACTTATTTACATTATCAAATTGTCCATTCGTTTCTGGACAACTGAGGGCACTGTTGACATAATTTGGAGAGATTCACTGTTCAGTTGAAAGGGTTCAACAAAATTGTATGACCCTTTAATTAATATCATTGAATGACAGGCCTTACCATGACATTCCTGAGTTTTATTATTTAGCGTTGTCGCTTACTTTCTCTTTTTTGTCATTTCTTTGAAATTGCTGGCATTGGGAGTCGTTTTGAAAGTAATGGAGTCCCACCAGTACATATTCAGTTTAATTTGCTTTCTGGAGACACGATATTCTTGAAACTGCACATTTTTTTGTGTTCCCAGAGTTCGAGAAGATGATGCTGAAATTCTAAACACGGGCACCTGCGACGGGACTCGCTGGCCAGCATCAACAGAGAACAGTTCTACATGCATATTGATGAGAATTATGTTGTACCTTTCCAATGTAAAGCAAGAACGATATTACATGAAAAGCGAACAGGCCGCTCGGCAACTTGAACTTGCTTTTAGATGAATATGTAGGAATTATCATATTTTCCCAGTAGAGTTCAAGCTAGTGACGCTGCTGAGAATAATCTATCTGGGGTGCTTTTTGACAGGAAATGTTATTTGTATAAATTACGACAAAGTCCATGAAGATACTACCAGCAATAACCTAGGCAGAATATAATCGACAAGGTTGATTTTAGAATCAAGAGTTTCGTACTTACACTAATTGCGACAAAGCACCACTTTCCAAGGGAGCACTTTAGTTTATTTATTTCAGTGCAGAATTTTTATCGTTTGCGTTTCCCCCACTATTAACGCCTTTAAAAAACGCATTTTTGTCTTTAATATATAAGCTGAATTCATACAAATAAAAGTGTGTTGTTAGGAGGGCTTGTTCAGGTGTTTTCGCTATGTTTGTGTCACTTAGGCCAAGGCTACAAGCCATGCTATTGCCGTGCCGAACTTATTGCCGTGCCACGCAATAAAAATTTTGCGTGGTAGCCATCTTGTAGGGCAGCTCTTTTGTACCACAGGGGAAGCCTCCTTTGTGTATACCTTCTGGAACAAAAGCACTGGCCTGTAAGATGGCAGCCATGCAAATCTTCAGTAACGCGGCAGTTGCACTACGCACCGCACTGAAATTATACGGGCAGTGTCGTGCCACTGCCTTTCAGAACACAGATGGTGTGAGTCATACTGAAGGCTAGGCTTGCCGTTGCTTGCGCAACACCGTGCTATTGCCTGGCCAAATTTTATAAAACAAATCATTTGAATTTGGCGTGGCTATAACTACAGCCCGAGCAGTCCTTCTGTGTAAAGTGACCAGTCGGAGTGTACTCTGCTTTTAAATGTAATTCCATTGTTTTTCAGCTTGTATGGACTTTCGAAAAGCATTCAAAAATCACCTGTTCCTTTCCGATAGATTTTCATTGAAAAGATGCATTAAAAGTGGGCAGGCCCTTTAACTCGAGCCGTGCTTGTGCCTATATACTAGAATAAATTTAACGATAGGATTCTTGGATCCGACTCGAAGTGTTGTACTTGATCCAGGGCTGACTAGAATCGCTTTCTATTATTGGTCATCAATGCACATGCCTTGCATTATTGCAGCGAGTTTTGAATTCTTGTATTATCGATTATTGCTGCTGCTACACACATGCAGGACCTGCCCAGTGAACTTTTTTTAAAACCCAATAATAAAATGACAGTAACGTTAGTGTCATCGAGTGGCTGTAACATTTGCGGGCAGCACATTAACTGAAGGTGATCGCGATCTTAAGTAATACCATCTACATCGTGACCACTAGACTGTTACCAATCAGCAGACACCTCTGCTATACGATTGCGTCATTTTACCAAACAGCAACTTGATCAGATGTTTTGGAGCGAGGCTCAGGTAATTGCCTGATACACTACTGAACACGAGTACCAAGTTGGGGAGAAATCTCTAATAATTGATCCAGGGCTGTATAGTGGACATGGGATGACATCAAGAAAGAAATTTAATCTGAAACGTGACGTCAAATTTAGGTTTTTACTTTTGGACAAGAACACATCATTTGTAGTTAACTTGGACTAATGATGAAGTTAATATTTGTCACAATAGGAAAGAGCAGAATGAGACTTTCCGATCATTTTGTCTTGACGGGTGTCATATGATCTTTACAACGTCTCAGTTTACTGATCTGTTTTCAATAAGGCCCTACATAAATGGAATTAATTTACCCTAGAACACATTTTGTGTAACTTCCTACTTTCAAATGTTAGAAAACTGTTTTCTTGTCATCCCTGTTGTTAGTTAAATTGGAAAATTTACTTTTTCATGAATTTAAATTTTTCAACTCCGGTAAATCTGAAATAACTGTACACTCCGCTTTCTTCTTGAAATAATATCACACTTTTACAAAAGGAATATGCAAATTTGGATAAGTTCAAAGCCCAAAGACACTACACGTCCCAACAGCAGCAGAATGAATATTGCAAGCGTGTTTACATGGGATACAAAGGTGCACTTGACAATTGCCGCCCTCGTTGCTCCTTACAATGAAATGTGGAGTAGGCCCAAACTGTCGCTAGGGACGCAAGATCATGATGTCTGCTGAACTTTGCCCAGGCACATATGCTCTCCGGTATTGAGGTTACCCATCATCGATGAATTTAATGCCAGACGTGATCTCTCTGACATTCCTGGAGATGGCCCTTTATGAATTACGCCCACTACCTCAACCTGTCGTGGCCCTTGTGGGAGCCGTTGTTCCAAAAGCTCTCGTCCAGCACCGTCTACGCCAACTGGCGTTTTTGTAACCCATATATTTAAGAAGTGAATGGACATGGAAACATAATTACAGTCTGAGGGTTCGCGTCTCCGAAAGCCAGTGTTCACTTTAACATCCTAATCAATTTCCATTTTTTCATTCATTCATTATGAGAAATGCCAAACCCCTTGTGCATATTTGTACAAAGAAAAAACAAAACGGTACTGACTTTTGTATAGGCCTACTGATGTGAAAAAAAAAATCGAGCTTCACCATCTGTGGATTGTATTTTGTGGGCGTGAACTGAAGTGCAGTCGGCTTGAAATCGTCAGGTGCGGTACCGATCGCAGTTAGATACTTCACCGTATACGGACGCGGACTTTGAGCTTTGTGGAACATTTTTGGCTTCAGCAGCGAGATTCCTCTGCAGCAATGGCAGTAAGATTTCCTTGATCGATTGCTAATACTATATATTTTTTATTAAAGGGCCGTTTATCTCCTTCAAGGCCCCACTTTGAGAGATTTACTACCGTAATGCCGAAAATGCATTGTAGCTAATTGTGGCATTACCAAAGCCTGTTCTCAGGTAAACATTCCCGCTGAATCATCAACTTTAAAATTTACTCGTTTGTTTTCCACAGGCAACTCTGAGCGACAAAAAAAAGAAAGGTAGGATTCTCGTTATGAATCATGACCTGTATACCTCATTTGTGCACTACTGAAATAACCAAAGTGTCTCAATTTGGGACGGCAGTGCGTTTATGTATATATATTTAATTTCAGAAAGAATGGTTGCAGATTCTTCTTTCTGATTTGTCAGATATTGTAGTAGTTCACCAAGGGGTTTAGACTGACAATGTCCTGATGAGCTGAAAGCCTTGAATTCTTTTTCTGTTTTAATGTGAAAATCATTTTAATTCAGGATTTTCTTTTCCCTTGAAAGTTGCAAAGCAAGTAAAACTAAACCCCTTAAGAGAAAAGAGAAGGAAAAATACTTTTATTTGACTGAATGATTGCCTCAAAGTAAATTAAAGTAATTTGTTCACCATTCCGGGTTTCGCCATACGTGTATGGGCTCAGTTCAGTTAAGGCGAATTTTTGTGCAAATATTGCGGATTAGCCTCATTGTGTTTGTTTTGAATTATGGATTCGTGTTGATACTTGCGTCACTTTCAAAGGAAAAGGTTGAGAGTGAGACGGTCCTTCAAATTATTACAAAATATTCTGGAATCCTTCTCGTGGAACAGTGTGCAAGAAATAAAAATAGAGGCAGGAAGCACATTCGAATGTGTAAATCTTGTTAAATGTGAACATATTTTTCAAGCCGAAAAGACCTCCTGGTGTTACTGAGTTTCGAAAATATGCAAAGCTTTCCATTCAGATATAAAGTTTTTATTCCATCTGAACCCTCAAGGAGCAAGGTTATTTGGCCAATCTCACAGCCGCAGGCGGATTCCGCCTCCAAGAACTCGGCTGTGCCATCTCAAAGTTTTTAAATTTGGCGTACATGTAAAACGGTCCTTATCATTGCAAACATGAAATTTAAAGTAAATCAAAAATGGTTCTGTTGTTACGGTCTTTTGAAGTTCACGCATGCCATCCCGCGTGCATGCAGCACTAATAAGTTGAAAAGTAGGCCTATACATTTTTGGCTAACTTGTCTCAGAAAAATGGGCGCTGCGCAACAACATTATGTTCGATTTGTACAAAATTGGTGTCAAAATGACCGAAAGGATTTGCTCTGAAAACTCCAGAAGGGTTAGCCCTTGAAAAAACGCAATGCGGCGATATTGGAAATGTATTCAGGGTGAATCCAACTCCGGCTCTTCTCTCGATAACAACAATAATTGTTTCAAGTCTGAAAACATTATATGCTCACCTTTTTAAAACCTCTCTTCCCTCTATATGAATACCTTTGCTTTTCATTTTATTATCTGGTTAATTGTGGAAACCTACATGAAAGTGCCTGTTAAATTATACAGCCTACAGGGAACAGTTCAACAAGTTTGACAAAAATAAGGACAAGAAGATAAGCAAGGACGAGTTGCGTTCATTGTTGAAGACGGTGGGTCGACACCCCTCCGATGCCGCTCTGCAGAAGGTCATGAACGACGTCGACAAGGACAGTAGGTTTTTTCTAGCGGATACAAATTTTGGTGTCATTGGCAAGAGATTGTGCAGGGCTTGTTGATAAAGACGTTGTAAATTAAAAAAAAAAAAAGTGTGAGAGGGAGTGGATGGCCAACGGCTCACCTGATATGGCTCAGTTCACGAGGAAAAAAGTCTGCAACTTGCCCGAAAACTGATCCACTATCGACGGACAGTGAATGTAGGATACCATTTATCGTTCGGCTCACTAGACCTAAAGCCTTGATCTAAAGTCTTGACTTGAGTCAGTGACACTTCGCGTTAATACGAGCGTTTCACAATAGTTCGCCTCCAAGAGTTTGCAACGCGTTGGCCAATCATAATGTGCGAAATCTGTCAACCCAAAGTGCGTTTGGAAATGGTCGACAAATTTCACGCGTGTAATTGGCCAACTCGTAGCAAACTCTTGGAGGCGCAATATTGTGAATCACCCGTATTCTGCATAATACTTATCGTATTTTTCCCTCGAATAGAGAGTGGCTTCATTGAGTATAACGAGTTCGAAATGATGATGATCAAGATTGACGCGGAAATTGAAAAACGATTGAAGGCAACGTTCAACCAGTACGACAAGGACAAGAGTGGATTCATTACGTATGTTTTGTGTATAGCGCTAAGTTTTGAAACAAAGTTTTGAAGAAAAAAGGACCTTTTAGTTCTGTAATCTCAGAGGCGAACTTTAATGACCAACCAGTCACTTCAAGAAAGTTTTGTGAGTTAGTTGTTGTTTTATTCTTTGTGATATTCAAGTATGTGTGTATATGAATCTATGTGGTGACCGTGGCAACGCTGTCACTGGTCATTAATGCAGTACCAGTGGCAGTAAACATTGTGACAACTATTGTTGAACCACTGTTCAATGAGAATCACGCCGCACAAAACCTGACAGTGCTGTCTGCCATTAAAGGGGCCCATCAGGAATTTATGTCCATTAAATTGGTGCATGATTTGTCTATTTGGCAATGAATTTCACCACGTCATAGAATCTGTCCATCCCTTGCTGTTGACTTTATCTCCTCACAGTCATTTTGTCAGCGAAGTATCCATTCGAAACCTTTCTGAGTTAAATTATGTGAGGGCGGATGTCATATGTCACCTTGACGATAGAGCGCCAATGATTTTTCACCCGAGATAATGTTTCGAAGAAGCCTTCGGTGTTAATATGCATTTCTTTTCTGCAATGCATCACAGTCTTGATGAGCTGCAGGCAGCCTACGAAGACATGGGCATCGAATCAACTTCCGACGAAGTGAAACAGGAACTCGAGAGGGCGGATGTGAATGCAGACGGCAAACTGAACTTCGACGGTAGGTCTATCCATTTCTCCATGGTCTATCATAAAGGCTAGTCTCCGAAGAAAGAGACAGAACAAACCGATCATTCAAATCGAAACAAATTTTCTTGCAAGTAAATTAAATGATAAGTCTGTGTGAGTGAGTTGGAAGTGTTATAGTTAGAAATGAAACACTGGCCGGGTCTTTCGGGATTCATGACCAAACTTACACAAGTTGCTTGAAATTGAACAATCCTTTTACCTCAAAAAATTCCAATTTGAGAACAATCAGAAGGGATGGAATTTTTACCCAGAGAAATAAATATTTTTAAAATAAATAATTTTATACACATAAAATTTACTCTGGAATTCAATACGTTCATTCAAGTCAACGTCATTTTTATTTATTTATTTTCCAACTCTGGGAAGAGGGAGTGGCCTCTCCCAGCGAGCCTACTGTCGCAATTTTTTGAATTAACAAAAAACAAAACGTCCAAATATTATAACCTTCCATCATATCCTACCTCTATTCATGCCTAAAAAGCTGGTTTGGTCACCTTTAACATCAGGCCTGGCCCAGAGCCAGGGCAATAAACTTTCGAGCGGGTCCCTTGCCAAGGCCCATTCAACCGTGCACAAAGCATAGCTGTACTCCACAGGGGTTTGTTTACACTGGCCCCAGCTGACTCAAGGGCTTAGCAGTTCTTATCAATGCCAAGCCGGCAGGTCTGTCTGATGCGGGTAGACTAGAGCAGACACTTGGCCGGGTTCTGGTGAATGCACTGTGAAGGGGCTTTGGGGGAATGTCTTCGAATTGGGCTTTGGGAATGCCCTGTGTGGGAAACGAGGAAGTGATTGCAGATGGCTGTTTCATGGCTTTGTTTGTAGTGTATGCAGGAGTGATCTGAGTGAAAAAATGAAAGAGCAGTAGATTGAAAGTACAGTTTGGCTTTTTACAGTTTCAGAGTTTACATGTACTTTCACTGATATTTTCAGTTTTTGACAGTTTGGCTACTATTTTTTTCTTTTTTTTTCATAGAGTTTGTAGCTCTATGGTTTCAGAGTTTAGTTTCAGTCTGTTTAGTTTCAATCGCTGTGTAATTTTTGGGTTTTGAAAGTACAGTTTCAAGCTTTTTACAGTTTCAGAGTTTGCATGTACTTTCACTAATATTTTCAGTTTTTGACAGTTTGGCTACTATTTTTTCCTTTTTTTCATAGAATTTGTAGCTCTATGGTTTCAGAGTTTAGTTTCAGTCTGTTTAGTTTCAATCGCTGTGTAATTTTTGGGTTTTGAAAGTAGTTTGGCTTTTGTACAGTTTCAGAGTTTACATGTACTTTCACTGATATTTTCAGTTTTTGACAGTTTGGCTACTATTTTTTCCTTTCTTTTTCATAGAAATTGAAGCTCTATGGTTTCAGAGTTTAGTTTCAGTCTGCTTAGTGGATATTTTGTTAGAATAATACATGTTTCAATTTTCCTGCACACGTGTTGCAAATATCTACCATATTTCTTGTGCTGTCCCCTCCCCCCCAAAAAAAAGTACCTGGAAATTTTTGGAAACTATTTGTGTGCAATGATTCATAGCCACAAGAGTCGAGGGAGCCTACCTATCCATTCTAATCCCTTTAGAACAGAATTTGGGCCCAAACAACAGCAATAACAGTGAAATAATGGATGGACTCAACGAAAGAGCAGCCCCTGCAGCACCGTGAGAAAAAATTGCGAACGCGTCGCAGGGTTTTAACCAAAGCACCTAAATTAAATTGGCAACGAGTTTTTATTTTTTTTTAAAATATGCTTTTAAAATTGCTTGCTCTAATGAGTTTGCATTTACTTGCAAATGTCTTTACTGTTTTTGTTGCAGAGTTCAAGAAATTGTTTGGGCGTATCTAAGCACTGGACTGCGTAGTTGGTATCATGGACGTCTGTGATTTCCCGGACCATGTGATCCAATATGGCGGCCTGTCGATTGAAATGTAGGATAGTAGCAGCAATTAGAGCTGCAGTATAGTCTCCCGATATCGGATGTTGAATTTATATCCATTCAACGTATTTCTATGCATGTATGCTAGATATGTGATTTTCAGTAAGGATAGGGCTATTTCAGTAATTCGGGTTCAACCACAAAGTTAAGGATATGTCAAAGTGAGTCTTATTCTTCATTCAATACCGTGTGGCACTCTTCAGTCACAACTCGGGGTTCGCATAATTATTTGATAATTATCACATACAATTCCGTAAAGACATCGTACTCTTAGATATTAGAATCATTACTTTATCTCAGAGTTGAATGACGACTGAAGTTGGTCTCAAACAAGTGTTGGAGTCGAGTCCATCACAAGTCCTTTCACAAGTCCCTTTACAAGGCCAGTCATAAATAACAAGGTGAACAATATAGGTTCAATTGAATAGCTTGTGTTATTAAGACTGAATGACACGCAATGGACTTACATGATAGACTCGAATACAACACTGTTAAATAAACACGAGACGGCTATGAGTCCTGATTTTTTAAAGGAGGTGGGGAGTTATAATGGTTGCATATTCACTATTCGGGCACTGCGCTGATACGGAACAGAGCTGTTACTTGAGAGAGTTCCGACATGAGTGTCTCAATTGGTTGGAACCAAAATGATTGATAATGCATGCACACGGACCGTTAGAGCACAATAGGTGCATGTACCGCACACATAATGAACAGACATTTCGGTTCCAAAGTCGAGTTGGCGCTACACTCTGTACAAACAGATCTTATACTGACCCATGAAGGGCTCCCTCTACATGTTCCTCAAATTATAGCACGGCTTTGACTGTAGGTGTTAGGATAGGCATATAGTTCTTTATTGGTGCTCGTTGATGTATTATAAATCGTTTTGACCCTGAAAGGTTCACTAGTTAAAAAACAAAGACTTTGCTGAATTTAGAAAAAGACATAATCGTCAATAATCAATGTGTGAAACCAGTAGTCTGGAGCAGCAAACTTTTCAATGTTTTCCTTATAGATGTTGAGAGCAGGAAGTGGGCTGAAAGTAAATTTCCTGGCGACACATTTCATTTTTCTTCAATTCAGACCTTCCTGTCCACAAATTCCCATGTCTATCCTTTCTTCAGAGAGGTTTTGGCAAGTAGAAGTGTAATGTCATATTTGTTGAACGGAAATTGTATTGCTATATTTGTTGATATCATACATGCAAGGAAAAAGTACACAATCAACACGTGAAAAAAAGCTGTTGTCCACTTCAACAGTTTGGAAGATTCAGAATGTGATTTTAATTAGAATTGAGCAAGGTAAAGGTTCGTCCACAAAGGTAAAGGTTCATTGTACAATTAATGAAAACGTATCTGCATTTATTTAACCCCTAAAATGTTACCATATCATATGAAATTGATACATGTCATGTTTTCATAGGTCGAATCTCAAATTCCAAAGGTGTTGTTTTTTTATTAAATTTATATTTTGCCAAATAAAAAGAAGGTGTTTTAAAAGGAATCCTCATTTGTGAAACTTTTCAGTCAATTTGAATATACCTCCACAGAATAATTAGTTATTGCCATGCACAATCCAACAACTTAGTAAAAGACAGTTCAACGATGTTTCATTCGATTGGTTCATTCAGTTATATTGGGTGTGATTAGTTTCAGGCATTTGGGGATACTGCAAACTTCAGGACGGCATTAAGGGGGCGCGCGGTGCACAAACCACATGCCAGTTGCAAGTCTGATGACCGTGCAGCTATAGATTGAGCTTTAGCGGTTGTTCAAAATGATTGTCACTGAGAGAAAGATACTCAAGTGCTAACCGTCACAAAAGTGAAGAAAGCGTCAAGTATGAAGTAACCTTTAAAATGAATTCAACATGTGTGTGTCAGCTTGCCTAATTGTTAGCACTGTGCATATGTTTCAAACATGGCTAACATTTACTTGTCTTTCTGCAGTGTTATGTGTAGGCCTATACAAAGTTGTTGCCAATTTCAAATTTACTACACAATGTATACGAGCATATGAGCATAGAGGCGTCCTGCTTCGACGAGCGTAAAGCCGTTTAAATCACCGCCCCTGGGGGGTAACACATTGCTCCAATGCAGGTATTAAGTGTACAAAGCTCAAGGGAGCGAGAAGCTCATCCTTTTCCCTTCTGTTCTTTGTCGCTTGATGTTTTTTCTTTTCTCCATCAAATTCCCAAAAATGTATAAAGGCCTCACCCATGAAATCGGTAACTCGTGCAGCAAGTCCATTACAGCTCTGCAGTGCCGTGAGTCCAATTCAGAAATTATTATGCAGACATAACCAACCAACAATCAATACATCGACCGTTTGTTTCTTTCGTTCGTTAATATTCTACAGCATATGGCTGACGAAATGCTGGTAAGCCTGGTATTTATTTCTTAAGTTAGAATGTTAAAAAACAGAAACTGGCCTTTTGCCGAACTTGGATTACTTTCTCTCAGCGTAGGGTTACTGGAGTGAGAACTCCCAGTTGAAGTCGATGGATGCGCGGCTTCAACTCCTTTCATTTTACATCACTGCTGCGAACTTTGCGCTTCATCGAAACGTGTTTGACTGTGACAAAAACCCGAGTCTGCGATGGCTGTAAGATTTCATTTATAGTAATTACATGTACCAGGCCTAGATTGAATGTATAACCTTTTGTCTCATTTCGGGACTATAACTATACCTGTAAGATTATTGGACGAAAATTACCGGGTGAACGGACAAGTTTTTAAGGGCATGTCGGTGATCAAGCATGGTTTTTGGGAGCTCTATTTCAAGTTGGGTTAAGGGTTTTACAGAAACCAGATACCTTTATCTTTATCGGGGTGTACACCAAGTGCATGTAAAGTACATGGAACAAGAAATTCCTAAATTGAGGAAATTTGGCTGGTTGTACGTTCTCAGCATTTTATATTTAAACATGAAACACCGAACAGCTTTTTCGCTTATACGGGTACCTATTGTTACTGTAACACAGCAACACGATTTATAGTCGTTGGTTTGACTGTAACCAAAATCGCTCCGATGAACTGCCAACATTTTTCCATATACTGAGGCATCTTTGAAAGGTACCCAGGATTTAATGAAATTGATATAATACACAAATTTTATAGCTGTAGTTTTGAAATAATGGGAGTATATTTAGAGGAATTGACGCTTAGTGAAGCAACGTCACACAAAAATGCTGGTCAGTAATGCTGCGCATTAATAATGCTAATCTGGGTAAGGCTTTGTCAAACCAGCATCCAAGGGGTTAAGGTTTTGACAGTTTTCGGCTAACATTGATAATTGTAGCCGGGGGCATTAAGCATTTAATTAGAACAGCACTGTAAGGAAAACTGGTATAGGCATAATTACACAATAATTGTTAATATGATGTTCAGTATCTCTTAGCAATATTAGGAAAGGCAACCTGTCCCATATTTTCATGTTAATTACGGGGTTCACGAGACGATAGTCCATCAGTGATCATTTGTTGCGTTGGTGGGTATGGACGATGTGGTGAAGTGCAGATTTTTGGGGGGCCTAAAAGTTATCACTGCTCATTTTGTGTGTGTCTGCATCGTTAGCGAAACACGGTCTAAATCAATCAAATAGAGGCATATGGTGAAATAATATCCAACTTAAAGCTGGAGGTCAGACACAAGGCATGTGCAAGATCACATGATTCCAAATGCCTGTCCAGGCCGTTGTGACTGTAGTTTACAGGTACAAAGGAAAATAGTCATCGCTCTGCAGAGTTATGGACGACCGAGTGATGCAAGCATACTTACACACTGTCAACAACAAGACACATGATAAAATACAGCGACTCTGTAATACCGATCATATAACCCCCAAATATGAACTGATGAACACGAGATTTCCAAATGTGCCCGTCGCTGCATGTATATTGTATAATAAAATTATACACACCGTGGTAACTGGTTTCGTCAATATTTTCACATGTAGGTCTGCCTAAATAGGCACTAATCAATGAATTCCATTATATTCTGAAAATCATAACGTTGAGTAATGGTAGTTCATTCCATTTAAGATATTTCTGTGCATGTATAAAAACAGGTTTAGCTGTGAAACTTTTCAGGACTTCGTTAGTGGAGGTGATTCAGATATACTCATGATTTATAAGCCTTCGGATTACAGCCTGGATAATACTCCAGCTTTCGCCTGAACGACCTTTACACTAGAGTCCAAACATCTTCTTTTGAATCATAAGCCTGTGGTGGCTAGTTTCCGCCCTCGCTCCTCTATGGAATTCGATATCTGCCGTCGTGCGTCGCCCCTCGTGCGTCGCCCGTCGTGTGTCGCCCGTT